GGTGCCCCAGGGCTCTACCTGGGGCTTGTAGCCCACCTCCAGGGACACGCCACCTCCACCCCGCCCATCCCAGAGCGATGGCCCAGGAAGCCTCTTCGCAACCCCTCTCCACCCCAAAAGCCCTTCACTTTCTCTATCAGTGTGCTACAGATGTTGCATCTACTTTTCCTCTTGCTGAAATTAGTGTGCGTTTAGAGAGGGGCTGAGGATTAGCTCGTTTGCCAACGTTGCTCTGTCCCCCTCCTTGCTCTCCCCGCCAGGTAAGATGCTATTTAGGATCCGTTTTTCTGTTTCTCATTCCTTCAAATATTATAAATCCCATTCCAATTAAACACCAAGGCCAAAAAAAAAAAAAAAAAACCATGTGACAAGCACCCAGCATATCAGAAGGCCTCTGAAGGGCAAAGGGGCAAAAGAGATGGAAGTATCAGATATCAGCAATTACCACAAGATGTGGGGCTAAGTCACCAACATTTTTAATGGCATGCTTTGTCCTTCATTCTTGATGGTCCACCACGTGAATGGCAGATTGTCCGTGGCCTCAGAGTAAAACCCAGCATCCCCAAGGGCTTTTATTAAACCAAAAATGTTTGTTTTACTGTTTCTGCCTTGGAGTAGGACATTACAATCCTTGTAGGGGGATGCACACACAACCAAGACAGAAGACGGCATAGCTACAGCAATTAAATTGTCTCTCTCTTAAATTGTCTCTGTCTCTCTCAGCCTTTTCATGGTAGCTTTTTCTCACTTGTAGACATCTGCACGTGTCATTAGCCATTGAGCAACTCCACTCTTAGAATTCTCATAAAACCAACCACTTTCTATTTAAAATGTAACTCATAATTGTACACAACATTTTTGTGAATAAAAACATCAATAATAACATTCAACTCATGCTTGAGAAGGGAAAAAAGGAAGGGTGGGAATAAACAACATGTGCCTGTTTCTAATATTTCGGTTCATGACGAAAGAAAGCCTTCAGTCAGGTCTTCTGTCCTTATAAAGAACATAATTACATACTGAATTTTTCTGCTAATGAATTATATAATAGAATTCTCTTTCCAGACAGGGAATGTAAAGATCTCCGTAGGTTCTGGACTAAATCAAATATTTCTAGAACCTAAACCTTAATGTAAAACACAATCAGGTTGTCTAGAATGCAACAACAGAAACGTGATTAGCCAAGATATGTTAGTACTGGAAAGAAGAGATGCTATTTAATTTTTGAAAGAAGGAATTTCTGAATAATTTATCTTCATTTCTCAGGGGAAGAGTTTTTGGGCAAAGTTTTCAGGATAAGGTTGAAGAACAACAACTAATTAGGAATGGAAGCATGCAGAAAAATATATTCCATCAGTTTTTGCATCCTTTGTCATTTGCTACTTTCAACTGAAGAAATCAGAAATGGTTGGATTCCCTCAGTTTCACCTCATTAACTGTGCTGCAGTACAAAAGGGTTTTGTATTTGAGCTACAGCTAATCAGAAAATAAGCACAACCAAGAGAAAAAAGAAAAAAAGCCCAAAAGCCCGAAAATAACTCTCTGCCCTTTTATTGTGATGCATGTTACTCAATGCCACAAAATCTCTCTTATTACTTCAGTCGCATAGGGTGACTTACTCAGTGAGCTTCCATCCAAAACAGTCTCAGAAGAGCATGTCTAGATTTCTCCCTCCTCTGCGTTTCCTAGGAGGAATGTGGGTTGCTATTATACTATTACCACAGAAAAAAACATTTTGATAGCTATCATATTCTCTTTCAAGAAATCATTGTGAATGCATTCTTTCAGTGTATTCCCTATATTAGATCAACAGAGTATTTTAGGTAGGCAATTGTTTGAGGGCTGTGGCCACTCAGTTTTTTTGTATTCGCTTTGGTCTTTACTACACAAATCTCCAGGAATTTCCCCTACCACATGTCTACCGTTAGACCAAGTGCCAATGAAAGCCAGGCTTTCAAAAGTGGAGAGTCGTGGTTAAACTGAATAATTACAGGGAAAAGAATCACAGTTGCAGATGAATATGAAGAAACTTTTCACAGGAGCCTAAAGGCAAACTGAAGAACTGTGGAATGTACTCGGACAGCCAAGCAAGAAGCCCCAGCAATAAGAAAGTTTCCAAAGAAAAATTCAATGTCTTTTCTCACTTCTGTGGCCCGCTGTAGTTTTGCTCTGGAATTATCTGTGCACAGAGCTGCTGGGAAGGTGAGGATTGGGCACGTGTTGCAGTGCTTGCCGCTTGCGAAGAACTTCAAGCAGCCGGTGTTACAAAACACGGGAAAGCAAGGATCCTCACCCTCCACAGTTCTCTGATGTTCCCAGTTCACAGGCTGGCTCAGATTTTGTCAGGAAGTAGCACTCATGTCTCCACCAACTCTGAGAATACTGACACTTTAAAATAAAACTCAAGTGCACATATTAAATGACCCATAGGGCCTCAGCCTTGTGTATAAATGTAATGTTTCGGGTCTCAAAACTTCCCCTTCTTCTACCCTCAAAGATTCAGGAAAGGGTTGGGGGGTCCTGCAATTTCTACGTAAGAGTTAGAGAGCTCTTTCCAGTTACATATAGAACTGGAGATCAGGGAGGAGGTTAAAAAAAGGAGGGCAGGAAAAATGGTAACATAGCTTAATTCATTTCAACATCTTCATCAACACAGGTGCCAGGTGCTCTTTCAGCTGTGGATCGATTTGAATGTTGCTCAGTTCTTTGATATTCAGGATCATCTCATGGGCTTGGAAGAAAAGCTCTTTCCCCACAGCTTCCTCCACCCGCCTGCGCCACTCCATCAGCCTAGGTCTGTCCTCAAAGATGTCACAACCGACTCCGACAGGCTGCAGAAAGGGGGAAAGAGCAACAGTGAGACACTGGGCAGTCAACTCTTTGCCAAGGCAGCAAGCACCACAAATGTCCCTTCAGGTACAGGCCAGGGGAGAAAGCGAGGAGGAGCTCACAGAGGAGCACTATGAAGGAAGGAGATCTCTTCTAGCCCAGTGTATCCATCTGGCAGTGCAGGACGCAGAAGTTAACCTGTATTTTACAGGACATTTTATAGGCCCAGTCCATTCCTGAGTACAGGAGCAGTTGTTATGGGGTAGCAGAGATGACTACCGCTTAGTGTGAGCAGTTTTCAGATACAGCATCAAAGCTGTGGTGGGCTGACAGCTCCTGGGACAACTGCACAGCCCGCAGTGAAGAATGCTGTATTGGATAGCAAAAGCACTGCACAAAAGCTAATCATCTAATTGAACTGATGTCTTAGTTGGCATAATCTAATCCCCTTTTACTTTCTGCCTGTACCACTCCCCAAAACATGGCGCGGTACAGAAGCAGAACTGCTATTTTTCAGTCTCTAGGATACAGAATTACGAGCAGGAAGCAATTCTGGATTGCAGGATCCAAGCCATGATGTCCTAGGAGAGCACACCCAGTTTGCAACAGCTTTAATTTGATTGCATCTGGCTGAGATTCAGTTTTGCGTCTTCCAGACGTGGCATGGGAAAGCACCATCCGAAGAAGAATATTCTTGTATGATACAAATATTCTTATATCTTTTTGTTACTTCACCAGACCTGTCTGCTATTGCTTCTCACTTTCTTTATATATTGCCTCCTCCTGCAGAGGCTAAAAATAAAGTCACGATAAAGGCAGACGTGAAGAAGAATATTGTTAGAGTACAGAAACAGAAGAGATCTGTTGAAGCTAGATTTTTTTGCTTGTTTTCTGAACCCGCTCCCATATTCTCCTCGTTATCTTAGGGCAGTCCTGCTGAGATATGCCCTCTCGCCCCTTTCCAGAGACGTTACCACAGGCTGCACCCTTCCCTGCCTGGCAGCAGGTTTTCCCTTGTGCTGAGGTCTCCTTACCACACTCCAGCACTCACTTGCATCAGCTCCACAATGGCCACAAGATCCGCGAGAGAAATCTCGCTGCCGACGATGAAAGCCTTGTCCTGCAGAAACCTCTCCTCAAATTGCTTCAGCGAAGTGCACAGCCCCTCCATAACCTCCTGAAGCTTCTCCGCAGGCAGCGGCTGCCCGGTGAAAAGGGGAATCAGCACCTGAGAAGAGAACAGACTTACAGGGCCACCAGCCACCTTCTTCTGGGTCTAGTGGGAGTCTTTTAAGTTACAGCCCATGAGCTGCTCATGGTTGTCAGTGTCACCACCCTGCAGCAAAGCCACTTAAGAGGATGAGGCTAGAGCTTCGCGGGCCGCTGCCGTTCCAGGAAAAGCAGTGCGTGGACAGAGAGCACACAAGCATGACTGACCTGCAGTGACAGCAACCTCCAGCTAACGGGCAGCAACACGCAGAAAGACACCAAGGCTTCAGCTGCCGCTCTGCGCCCAGCCTCGCCGATTCCCACTCCACCTTGTTGCGGTACAAAAGAACAGCGGGCAACAGCCCTAGGCAAGACAAATCTCTACCACAGTCACCACTGCTATGTCCTCCTTTTCAACAGCCCAGCAGCCCACAGCTGCCCACCCTGCTGTGTAACTGGTGCTAGGGGCAGGCGGGCGCCCGTGCCGCGCGGTGACGGAGAGGAGGGCACGGTGGCGGCTGCACGCGCTTGCCCTTGGCCCCGGCAGCCAGCGAGGCTGAGAGAGGCTACGGGCCTTTCTTCCCCCAGCTTTTCTGTGGCCTCCCAAGCAGCTGGGTGGCAATTTTGCCTTATTCCAGTGCAAACGTTTCCAAAGCAGTCATGTGAATGTGGTCCTTGTCTCCATGGGCTTGCTGGCACTGAGCGCGTTAGCCTTTCAGTGAGGTTTGTCAGCATCCAGCTTCAGCCCAGGATCTCTGAAGTGCATTGTATCCACAAAAGAAGTCAGCTGCAAATCTCAGCTTAAATTAAAAACTTATGGTTTCAGATGTTTACTGCTCCAGCAATGATTCACAAAGACATGCACACTCTTGGAGCCCTCAGTGTTTCACTGTGATGCTGCCTCCACCTACCGCAGCTTCTATAGAAATATAGTTTATTCAGAGAAGCAGAATTAGAGACAGAAATTTCCAGTGGTGAGAGTGGAGTGAATTTGTTCTTATTGCTAGTATAGTCAGCAGTTCATGTTGTGATTGCTTAATCCAAGCCAGGATGTTTGCCAAATACATGTGGAGACTATTTCATCAGAAAATTCATGGCTGGTTCTCTTCCTAAGCAGTTCCAATTTTGAATGATGGGATCTCCAGGTACAGTGGTCTGAAATGGCATCTTCTTCCTTTCCTCTATCTTGGAGCTGTTTGTCTTCTCCGATGCCTAGCTAAATTTACATGGTAGCTATATACATTTTCCTATTTCTAATGATTCTGAAGATCTTTTCTGTAGCTGGGTTATCTAACCAGCAGCAGAAATGACCTGGATTTGTTTGCCTTGAAGCACTGCAATGTCAGCCTGCAGAGACTAGAAGAAGCTGCTTTTTGTATGAATCTGACTCACGTTTGTATTGCTTCTCTGTGCTCTCTAGCCAAAAATTCAAATGTTAATACATCAAGAAAATCAGTGAGCCCTGATGTTAAGCACAAACAAGGGCAAACTTAACACAGGAATGGTGAAGTCCTTACCTGTTTACTGGCAACCCTTATTTTGTCTGATATCCTGTATCACAGCTGTACTTGCAGGGCTACATTTGCACCTGGGTTTCTCTGAGGACATTTACTTTAACTTGCAGAGGAGTTGGCTGGAAATAGGTGTCCAGCAGAATCATCTGATAATAAGTGACCTTCTGCCTTAGGGTGAAACTGTTAATTTTGCCTAGATATAAATTGATCTGACCACACTGAATACAGAAGATTCTGCCATTCTCTCTGTACCTACCCCCATACTATCTGTCCCTGAGCCCATTTCAAAGGAGTGTGTGGGCGTGCTGGTAGCGGAAGGCTCTTTCTGCGTTTCCACCCTGAGGGGGCTTCAGGGACTTGGTGTAGGAAGAACACAAGCTCTCAGCTTCCCACAGGAAAGCACACGCTCACCAAGGCAGCAAAACCTCTGTACATGCGCTGCATGCTCTGCACAGCTGGGTAACGAGGCGGAGGCCCTTGCAGGCAACACTTCAGTCTGTTATGTAGTCATCCATGAATCCAGGCAATGAAAATCTGTTGGGCTTTGAGACTTTCTGAATCACATCAACTTTAAGGAAAAGAACAAAAATGACCAAAGCTGCTTTTGCCAGAGGAACAGCAGTGAGGAACAGCTCCTCTCAGCTAGGGATGGCCTAGGTTTTTATTTCAGTGTGACAAATTCACTGTATCGGGGCTGTTCAAATGCTCAGTATTCTGCCAGGAAAACATCACTTTGCTCACATTTTAATATTTGATCTCCTTACCTTGATCCACATGGTCTTAGGAGCATTAGCCCGGATGTTAGCATGATGCCATGAGAGGTATTCATCTACCTGCGCCCGTTTTTGTATGTCTGATGGGTACCAGTGGTCAGGAGTGTTGTACTTCCGACTCAGGTACAGGAGGATAGCAGTGCTGCTCAGACAGGAACGAGAGACAGGAAAGGGTGAGGGTGCTGCGATGCAGAGTGCTTTCCCCTGGGCTCCCTCTCCTGCCCCGTCTGAACTTGCTGCTTCCACTGACCAGCATTCAGATCAGGATTTGCAATGGAGTCCAGGGGACATACAGAGGCATCTAATTCCTGTTGGCCCTTACTTCCCTTAACCCCTCTGAAAACTTGAACCTGCTGGAAAATCATAGCCTTGTTACATGGTGCACAGTACATATGTGATATGGTGCTGGACAGTGACTAGACACTGGGTAAACAAACAATACATCTCCATAATCATCTATCAGCAATGTTAACCCATTTGTTCCTCAGCTGCTCTGAGCCGTCTCTCTGAGACCTAGTGCTGCCTGTGTGCTTCTGTGCAGAAATGAAGCTGTATAATTCATTATGTTGCCCTCTGATCAGATCTAAGCCTTTCTGGCCTGCAGCTTCCACTGAGGCCAGTGGAAGTCCTAGCAGGCAGAGCCCACAGATTTTTTGTGCTTGTCACGTCCAGATGTTGGTATCCTCACTAACTGGCAGGAGAAACCAGGTGGAAAAAAATCTTAGTTATCTGAAACAACGTGTAAGCTGCTGCTACAAAGAGATGCCACAGAAAACCCTGTGAGGGCAAAAAGAAAGAAAATGCAAGCCCTCCTACTACTATAATTCAATTATTATAGTCTTATGATACTATTAACCAATTAGATCATAGATGTCCGTAGTAATTTTAGAATGTAGAACACACATTTTATCTCTACAGGTGCTCCTTTGGCCTTTAGGACCGACTCATATGAACAGCAGTGGTTCCATCTTTCTCCTAGCGTAAAAGGGATTTGATAAGCTTTAAACATTTCCCTGCAGTGTTTATAATCTAGTTTTTGAGGTAACTGCACCCAAGGGAAGATCAAGAAGTTAAACCAGCTAATTGGTTTAGGTTGCAAAAGATAATTCAACCACAGCAAATGGAAACAGAGGAAATGAGATTATAAATGAGGTTATACTACTACAAATACTCAACATGTTACAAGGTATGACATTTTAGGGAGGTTTTTTTCAGTCTTTGCAAGGTTATGTTGAAGGTAAAGAGATCTGAAATAAAAGAATACCATTGCAATCATATATATGTATATATATAATGATATGTCAGGACCTAGGGATGAGTTCACAATGTATTAACCTTTTCAGATCAAGAAATAATGTATAGGATAGAGTAAATAAGCACTTTTAACATCATCTTAGGCAAAAAAGGCCTGCTTCTCCGTAAACAGACTCAAAGATATAATGACTAATTGATCATCTATAATTACAGGAGTTCCTACCAAAGGAGCATCTTTTTAACAACAGTGTGGGCCATGTCTATGTGAAACATGCACAGCTTTCACTGTATAATCATAACCTTGCATGTCAATGTACTTTCACCTCCTTTCTCTTTAGGAACACAGGAACTGAAATGCCAAAGTAGATCATTAACCCGTCCAGTCCGTAAATGCTCATGGCCAACCCTGTGATCTTTAGTCATTCAGAGGGAATGACATCTCTTGAACACTGCACGGGATTACTGATACCTGAGGGAGTTTGAGGACTGAGTTCTTACCATTCTGCTAGGGTGAAGTCTCCATCCTTCAGGGCTGGCACTTTCTTCAGGAGGCTGACTTTGCTGGCCCCTTCGCTGTTTGATGGCTCTAACAACAAGAACAGACAAGTCAGAGGTTAGAAGAGTATCTGCCAGTGAATGATCAACGAAACAGCTGCCTCCAACCAGACAATCAGAAAACTGTGTTAAGTGTTTCCTATATGGTCATATCTCATAACTAAAAGGTAATGAAACTGAAGAGTCAGTACAAAGCCACTACAGACACTGCAGGCTGCTTAGGCCTGTCAGGGCCATGGAGCAGTTCACAACACTATACAGGAATCCAGTTGCTTGACCCTGGTACCAACAATACATATAAAACCTGAAGAATCACTCACAAAGAGGCATTGAGATACTATGATGACTATGCTGGCATTGAAAACGTTATTGCAGATAACCAGAAAGAGCTAGCCTGACTTGAGAAGGCTGTGTCCTATAGCCATAGAGATGGGGGGAAAAAGAGGGAAGTTAGGAGAAAGACAACTGAGCAGCTGAAAAATATTTGATACTTGCAGAGGAAGCAGGGTCTGGAAGGGCTGAGTTGCATGAGGAGCATCCTAATAGGGCAAATGGTTGCTGCTCCTGCTCATGTTCCCACAGGCAACAACAACAAGAAGGAATTTTCCTCCAGCTTCATGAATGTGGCTGACTCTAGCTAGGATGGAGTTATGATGGAAAGCACCTTGAAAGCCTTGGGCCCACAGACGTCCTTGCAATGGATCAGTAATCAAAGAGATCCTGGCTGACTTATAGACACACACGGAGCAAAATCTTTTTCTTGTTTTTATCTCTGAAGAGCAGAAGGATTTGAGTACTAACAAAGAAAGCAAATGTTGTCAGCAGAGCTGGTCCCTCAGCAGACACTCAGCTGAGGATGTTTCCGGAGTTCTTGCTGGAATGGGAAAAACATGAGTATCAGCAGTACAACAGTAGGCCCATAAAACAATTCATTGCTACCAGAGTAGAAAATTAGCTAGGGGCAGGGAAGCTCACGCACCTCTAGCCTGCATCACCCCGGCTCTAGGTCAGCGTGTCAACCTGCCTCTGTCAGGAAAACACAAGAGGAATAAGCTGTCCCATAAAAGAGTTTAAACTCCACAATCACTGGAGTTTGGAGACACTAAGAGCAGGCTCTCTAACTGCATTTCCAGGTTCCCGTTGAAGGCACTGAACTTGCAAGTCAGCAGTTCAGTGCCAGGGAACCGTACGTGAGCCCAGGAACATGCACAAAAGAAAAGGTTTATTCGCTTTGTTTGTTTGAAGCGCTCTCTCTAAGGAGACATTACCTTCAAGGGTGCAAATCCTGATCAAATCAGCATGACCAGAAGGAGGTCTTATACAAAAATCTCTTTTGTTCAAAAATTAAGCGCCCTTAGCTAATAAACAATGATCTAGGCCCCAAAGAACTACTTGCCACCATTCAGGAGGCAATGGCAGTGTCTGCATTACTGGACAAAAGCTCAGCAGAAATTAGTCTCAGAGAAATAAAAACAGTCTTTGGACTATCGAGTTTATTTACAGTTGGTTGCGGAAGGGGTGGGAGAAAGGAAGGTTGCTGCATTATAAGTTAGAGAAACTAGCAAAGTCTCTGACTGCTTTCCTAATAATCTACTTGATTTCATACAATGAGACAAACCAAGCCGAGCAAACACGACTGCCCTGTTCTGGTTTCTAGCTGACTAGCCCCTACTTTGTTTCTTCTTTGAGAAGTGCTTTTTTAAAATTTGCATGTGACGAGGTTCAGTGGAGCCTAACGTTCAGGTCCATCCCCTGTCCGAGGGGACTGAAGCCCTGTCTCCCTGCTGGGAGATGGCTCTGGCTACCTGGGGTGCTGGTGCTCTCCTACCTAGCTGGGGAGGGAGTCCCACAGCGATGTCAGGAGAAGAGGCAGGAGAAAAGGGCTTCCTAGGAATAAAAGCCAGCGAGAAAGTGCAAGAGAAAGCATACCTCTATCCCAACAGCTAGCATATTTGCTTGGGAATGAGGGGGTTTCTAGTTTCTGCTCCCTAGGGCATGTTTTCCATAAAACAAACAGTTTTTTGGAGCAGGGATGAGAACACACATCTGTCTCATCCCAAGGAGGCTCCCCAGCTCCTGTTCACACTCTCCGGCCATCTCTCCTAACCCCCTGTGCTGTCTGGATCCATCGAGCCTCTCTGCACAGATACGGACTGCTCCCACCATTCTTGCCAAGACCCCCTCACCTTGGCACCGGGACGCATGCCCTCACAGCCACCTGGCTCGCAGGGCTCGCAGCACAGCCCAACTCAAACTGCCCGAGAAGCTTCAGCCTGGCATTCCCCAGAGCAGGGCTGAGAGAGCCCAGTACGGCACCATGGGCAGAACTGCCAATTCGCTCCTTAGGATTCTTAGTGCAGCTCCTTTTAACATCCCTAAATGTTCACTGGTGTTAAAGCAGCCACTGAGCTCTGTAGAGTTCAGGTGGTCTTTTGAAAAAATGCAGCGGAAAGCTGCAAGTCAAAAATGCTCATAACCAATAAGAACTCGATTCTCAGACCTAGGTGTCTGCGATTATCTGTGGCCGCTGTTTGTTACCCGAGGTAGCAAGCAGCTGAGAAATGATCTAAGTGAGCTGTGGGCAAAGGCAGCCTGAATCAGATTTCAGCCAGCTTTTATAGTGTAACAGTCGTAGCAGGAACACTGAACACGCATGCCTTAGGGGACTAACATGTCACTCCAGCAGGCTGGACAGGAGGTCAGTGGCTGCTACAAGGACTGCCGGCATCACAGCCGAGAGATGGCATCCTGCTCGCTTTGGCTCACACGGTGCCTTTACACAGAGACACAAGAGACCTGTGCAGAGAGACTCTGCCACTCATCTGCAAACTGGTAAAAGTCTTGGTATGAACACTAACTTCAAGTCGCTTCAGTGGGACTGACTGCTTATTGTATTAAAATAGAGACCAATGTTTGTATTTGCAGTTTAGCAGAGTTTAAGACTGTGTCGCTCTTGCAGCAGGCAGAGCTAGCCTTTACGGACAGAGCTACTTCTTAGGTGGCCAATCTTCATCATTCCTGTGATGCTGAGGTGACTTGCAGTGCGGTTTAATATCAGTTGGATCTGGTGTGATCAGCTCTTCACGTCCCATAAGGGTGTGCACACGCACACTGTGTGTATTGCTGGGCTTTGAGCAACAGCTTTAATAGGCAGAGTGCACACCGCCAAAAGCAGGTCAGGCTGCGAGCAGGAAGAATTCTTAAGGGTAAGTCATAATGCAAGGAAGGAGATTTAAAAGTGAATAAAAATAGGTGGACGAGTTTTTGCAAAAGAAGTAAAAAAAAAAAATCCACTTGCCTATCACGTCCCTGCCTAATCATCCCCTTAGCCAAGGATTTCGGGATGTAATTCTTTGCCTTAGGCAAAAAAATAACAAACAATTTACCAGGAAAATGCAACATGTAAATAGGCAATAGTTATCTTATACAGCTGGACATGTCCGAACAGCTGAGTGTTTCCGCTAAGTACACCGTTCCCAGAGCGCTCTTCGCCTGTCACTGTGACTAATTTGCTAGAAATGGCTGGAGGAACATTCCTTGGGGATCCACAAAAATAGCTGCAGCACAGCTATGAGACAGCTCCGAGATAAGAGCTCCATGGTCAAACCATTGTATCTAGGCCCCTCCACAGGGCAGGTATTTAAAACCAGTCAGGTTAGCGGAGGAGCAAGTCCTCTCTCAGTGGGCCAAGCACAGCTTCCAGGGCTGGGCTTCCAGGTCAAGCGTCTCCTCTCTCTGCTGATATCAAGTCTCCCTAAACATGCACTTACCCCTTCTGAGCTGGGAGAGGGGCCTTGGACTTCCATTGACCTAGACAGGACCAAACTGAACTTGCATACAGGAAAATGAGTCATTGACTTGGCAATTTCCAGAGAAACAGCAATTCAAGACATGAGAGTAAAGAGGAAGCAAGTGAGACGCTGTTCACGGAGCGGGGCTGAACAGCGCAGAATGCAATGAGCAGGCAGAAGAAAGTGCTCGTGCCCCTCAGAAAGGCGAAAGGGCTCCTCTGCCAGCAGCGAAGACCAGAGCGCCCAAGGATTACTGCATTGGGGATCAGAGAAGGGGATCGGGGGAATCCTCCGCGCCGCTCCTGCCCGGCCGGGGTCGCAGAGGGGATCAGGGGAATCCTCCGCGCCG